CTTTGGTGAAACTGCTCAGTGCAGTCCGCAGCACTTTCAGCTGAGGGAGAGGAACTTGCCATTGCCCCGTGTACTCCTCTACTAACTGAACATACCACAAAAACATTCAAATATCTGTTAACATCAGTAAAATAAGAGTATTATAACCAAACAATACATTTATTCTTAAAATAAACAGGCTGCAGTTGTTCACTACATTTTTTTTATTAAACATCTGATTTTAAAAAATTCTGCATATTTAGACATGGCTTGTTTCAGTTTGCTAGAGAATGTGAATGTTACTTGCGTGTACAGAGATTTTCAGTGGAAACATATTTGTAGTTATCAACTCTGATGACATTGGAACTTTATGCTGACAATAACTGTTATATCAGTCTAATTTGGTTTAACCAATGCCATGACCAAGGAAACCTTTTTTAAACCCTAATGCACACTGACTGCAAATAGTGTTCAAAATGTGTCCATGCTGAAGAAGTATTCAAAATGATTGTTTATTGTTACAACCCCCCCTGTGCACAACAAGACGAGTAGGGATGAAATGGTTACCGGTTGAATGACCACGGTAAAAATTCCCGACGGTTATTATTACCATACACATTACCATGATAACTGTGTTCGGTTACTGTGCTTTGATAAACTGAAACAAAGAAAACACTGTCCAGAATCAACCAAAAGTCATGACAGTCCCCCAGAAGCAGGCGCGAATTTGCAGTATGAAACTTGGGTTTGTTTGGGATTTTATAAGAGTGCTGAGGGAAACATGATTGAAGAAAATTGCCTGGGTAGGTCATTGCATTACTTATATAATATAAAATCTTTAATGATAATTCACACTTAGATGGTTTTCATATGTTTACATGAGGTATTGGCTGTTATTATTTTAATGTTTATGTAAACAAAATGTTTACTTTATTTGTGGAAAACTTGTTGAAATGGTTTCAGTGTGTGTGTCAGTACATTTTAATCTTTTTTAGCACATTTGAACAATACTGTGATAATACTGATAACCTCACTAAAATCGTGATATGTAATTTTCATACCGTTTCATCTCTAATGATGACACAAACTAATTTATCAAAACATTTCACTAACTTTCATACTCTCAGAGTCTTAACAGGTGTTAACGCTGTAGAGCTTCATTTTACTTTGGTGGGATATATTGTAATGTTTTATAGTTTCTCATGCTATAACTCTGTTATGAGTGACTTCTCCGTGATAACAGAGACCTCTCGGGAAGGTGGGACAAACTAACTTACCGATGTAACAATTGTATATTGTATAGTAGCAAATTTTGATGTAAACAGAGTGTTGGTGTTGCGATTGGTAACTAACGTTACAGTTAAATCTTCTATTTACCTAACTATTAACCTGGCATTTCATTTCAACTAGTGGAATCTGAGAGCAGGCTATAATGTGCTTTCCCTAATTGTTAAAACACAGTGTTGACCAACAGTTAACTGAAACAAACAGCTAACTTATGTTAACCTGATAACGTTAACGTTATCGTTAATTAGCTTAGCTTACCTGACTAGCTATCAAGCTAAGCATTATCAAATGTCAGGCAAATATCTCTAAAAACACTGTTAGTACATGACATTACTAAGCAAGAGGCACAGTTTGTGTCCAACTACATTTTGTTGACCGTGTGTTGTATTTCTGACGGGCTATGCAACAGTCTTAGCTACACAACTGCATAAATAGAGCTAGTCTGGGGCTAACGTTAGCTAGTGAAGCTAGTAGCGTTAGCCACAAACACACACAGACTTGGTAGACCATTTAACAAAATGAAGTGTAACATACCTCACAAAACTCAGAGCAATAGCCTTTGCTGCTCAGAGACGACTGATTGCTGCAGTGTCTATTACACAACGTGTCCAGAGCTAATTCAAGCCCGTCTGTTTCCAAATCACTTTCGCTGTCCGCCATACTGTCCCCTGTATCCAGCGCATAGTCACAGTTGCCAGGTCTGTAACGTAGTGTGTTCCTATCCCCCACGGCAAAAAACTCCCAACCTGGCAACCCTGTAACTGATAATTGTAAATGTAGCCTACTAAAAAAGTTTTTTAAGGTTATTAACAAAATATAACAAACAGTAACCTCTAATGTTGAATGCCCCTCGAAGCTTAAAAACTCGAGGGTTGGATGATAAAAATAAAACTATTTACCTCCACAGATAAGTAAATAATCGAATAGATAACTTAGATAGCCTACTAGTTGACGTGAACACCGACATAGCAGAAATAATCTTGAGAGAAACCTGTAAATAACTTGAGTATCCATCGTAAAAAAAACAAACAAGTAACGTTAGTTGATTCCCTACCTTGCAGACACTGTTTAAGCTTTGTGTTCCCTTTGAAAATCAACTTGCTGAGATCTGAAACTTGAGATAGCCTAGTTGTTTCTTCACAGTGATCACAGAGTGAACCATTTGTTTACCCTATTAATAATAATAACTGTTGTACCATTGTTATTTGTATTAGGCTGATAACATCTGTGCTTTTCCTACTGTGACATGTAAAAATTACCTCTTTGAAAGAGTCTCTTGCCTTCAGTTTCTAAATCCCTCTCCAAAGAGTCATTTATACATAATAAGCAAATGTATCTTTAATTGCTGTCAGTTAAAATAGCCTACTACTGGTAACACCAACATCAGCATGAGTGCCCTATCTGTGCGCATCATCGCTGTAATAATAATAATAATAATCTTTATTTGTAGAGCACTTTTCAAAACAAGTTACAAAGTGCTTTAACAAGTGTAAAGACAATAATACCCAAGAGACAATAATACAAAAACAATACAAGATAAAAGCATGAAAAGACTAAAATACATGTTTAAGATAAATATAAAATTAGTAAAATAAAAGGGATAAAATAAAGTCAAATAAGATCGGCAAAGGCTCTCATATGTATGTATGTATGTTTTAAGAAGGAACTTAACTGCTGACCTGATTTCCTCGGGCAGGCTGTTCCAGAGCCTCGGGGCCCTGACAGCAAACGCTCTGTCCCCTTTAGTTTTCAGTCGAGACTCTGGAACAGACAACAGACCTCTGCCTGAGGATCTCAAGGTACGTGCTGGTGTGTAAGGGACTAAAAGTTCAGAAATATAAAAAGGCGAGATGCCACGAAGAGCTTTAAAAGTGATCAATAGAATTTTAAAGTCAATTCTAAAACATACTGGGAGCCAGTGTAATGAAGCTAAAATAGGAGTAATGTGGTCATATTTCTTTGTTCTGGTTAAAAGCCTGGCAGCTGAGTTCTGGACAGTCTGGAGTCGATCAATAGATTTTTGGGTTAAACAGGTGAAAAGGCTGTTGCAATATTCCAGGCGTGATGAGATGAAGGCGTGTAAAATGGTCTTGGTGTCATCAAAAGTTAACATAGATCGAATTTTTGCTATATTTCTAAGTTGATAAAAACATGATTGAACAAGCTTTGTGGTGTGCTGCTCGAAATTTAAATTACTATCAAACCAAACACCAAGGTTCTTTGCCACAGGCTTAATGTGATTTACTAGGGAACCAGCAGATGGCAGTATTTGTTTTGCCATCTGCTGGGACCCAACAACCAGGTTTTCTGTTTTGTCTGAGTTCAGTTGGAGGAAATTATTTGACATCCATTTTTTAACTTCACAAAGGCAGTTGTTAAGTGAACTCAGCATTCCAGGGTCTGTGGATCTGACGGGCAAGTATATTTTATTTATGTATGTATATTTTTTGTACCTTGTAGTTGTTTACTATTGGTGGCTAGGGATTGGGGGCAAAAACTCTTTACCTCTGAGAACATCTTTTAGGGCCTGCGTGATTCAGCTAGAGGTAACCTAATCTCCACACCATGCAGGAAAAAGAGACAACTCTTTGCCTTGTTTGTGCCTGATGCCTGCACCGATGTTCCCTTGGGGGTGTACATGAAGCTATGCTGCTCAGTTGTTTGTGTGCTACGCAGACAGACTGGGCAGTAAACCCCTTTCATAACAGATGTGAGCTCAGGGGTTTTGTGAAAGAACTTCACAAGTCTGTGTGTTCATGGACATAGACCAAATGCTATTATACCCTATACACTTTATATTTCAAACTCTGTGAAAACGTTTAAAACAAATTGCCACATAAATTTTGGCCTTGATGGGTGGTGCAGGGGCAAAACACTTGCAAACCACAGCTGAGACCCAGGCTCTATTCTTGTAACTAGGCTACCTCCACGGTAGTTGGTTTTCTTACTCATTGTTAGTGAGGCCGGCTGGTTGTACAGTTTTCCTGCATGGTGGACCTTAATGAACTTCCACCCATACAGCTTCCCTTAGTGAAGCTCCTGACCGACAGGTATAAAACGGCTGGCCACAGCATGTGTACCAAAGAAAGAACTTTGCTGTCTGCCCCAGCTCCACAATAACTGTGTGCTGGAACTGGAAATTTCAAACTGGTGAGAAAGGGAGTAAAAGTGCCATTTTTCTTCCCTCATTTTCAAACTAGACAACAGTATTTGAAAATGATCCTCATGTACATTCATATGTATGCACATGTATATATCTGCAACATTGTTCTTCCATTCCATATTTATATATTTCTACATTTATTTGTGTCAGCTGTATGTTTGTCTACGTGTAGCACCTTATCATCACAGAAAATTCCTCATATGTGTAAAACACTACTTGGCAATAAAGCTCCTTCTGATTCTTCTGATTCTGATTCTATTAAAAAAAGTAAAAGTTGTCTGTGTTGATGAAGGCTTACTACAGCTTTTAACGGACTGGGTAAAATGTGGATGCAATGTAAAACATTAACATATAAGCTAGAGTGAATTCAGGCTTTCAGTGCTTTGGTGTAATGCTTTCTTTTGAAATTCTTCTTGTGTATTTTCTTTATGAGCAAACATTTGTTTTCCATGAATCATAGCCTGTGAGACAGAGATGACTTGAATATTAATCCATTTTTTTTTCATTTAATTGCTTTTATTTGTTTGATTGGTGAAGCCAAATGAACAATACCATATTTCCAGATTCATGAATCTCTCTGTTGTGGCTGACAGAGTGACGTAGTTTATCAAAAACAACTGGAAAGTCTGCAGTCTTTCTGCTAGCCACAAGGTGGCGCCATCATATCAGAATAATGAAAATGTCCCGTTCACATTTAGACTGAAATATGGGATTGCAGTAGGCTAAATCATATCAACATTCATTTACAAATACAAATTGTAAATGTATCATCAGTGAGTTATCATTGGGGATATACTTTATGTATGTCATTCACTTACCATATATTTACTCAGAAAAGTATTATTAAGTCAGAGAAATACAGAGGAACATAATTCATATGTGGATTGTTTATTATTAATTATTGAGACAGTGAGATGACAAAAAAGAAACAATATACAAATACTGGTCATACTGTCAGGAATGTATGTAAGCACATGACAGACCTTGTATTATCTCTCTAGCATACAGTACACCCTCGCACTTGACTCATCCACAACATTTCCATCAACATATCATGTGCCCTCTTGGAGGCAGTAAAGAAATAGTAGTTCTATTCCAAGTACTTGAGTGGGATTAATGTAATGAGGATTTCTCCATCGGTGGTTCTCACATTCATTAACCTACTGCTCACTATGGCGTGGGAGTGGGATGGGATTGGGTGTTTAATGGCCGCTGGATACATAGATAAATAAATAAATACTTTACATAAAAGGTTATGAAAAATATAATTTAAAGTGGCAGTGTTTTATAGAACCTGTAACTCTAATATCTTCTACAAAAGGTAACCTTTTGTAGTGAAAGTTAAAACAAGCTCAAATATTATATTGGTCCCCAAAGTTATTTGTTTTAGAATTAGGAATTAATAGTATGATTTGGTCCTAGATCATGAAAAGGCTATAACTCCATGCTTTCGGATGTGAAATGAATTAAGCCAATATCATTGTCATAACCTGACAAGACCCTGCAACAGTCTACCATCTTTATGTTTTATATTTGTTGTAATGTTTTATGGAGCTGAAGACATACCCCATTCAACAACTATTTCTATCAACAATCACTGTGACAGTTAATCAGATAAAAGTCATCAAGCCTTCCATAATGTCCTGGCTGCAGAAAGTCACAACTTGGTATGCTGTGGTATTTTACTTTATGTTCTGTATTTTAGCCAGCAGCTTGGACTGGATAGAGGGGAGGTCATTAGATGGAAAAGACATAATGGCCAGCTATATCAGGACCTTCAAATGGGGTTGATCACTTATGCTCAGAACCCAGACTTCAAAAAGGTCAGCGATGGCCCATTTTCTAACAACCAACATGTCAGTGTCCCTTGAAACACACCAATTAACATCAAGGAAATCTCAGGCTGTCCTATTAATAGCAGGACTTGGATTTCAACGTGGAACTTTGCTGCAAAGCTCATTGCTGAACTGGTGCCATTTAGGCTGTTGGAGTGCCCGGTGAAGTGTCTATAAACGAGTGTCAATCCTTTTCCTCTTTGCGATCAGGCACATTGAGTCAGTATCCAGTCAATATTCTCTGACCTCGTGCCTTTAGTTTATCCCTTCCTTGTTACGTGTTATGTGTATGGTGTTGTATGGGTGTGGTCATGCATAACTGTAACCATCAGAGATAATGACTGCATCTAATGAGTCTTTGGAAAGCTTTTTTGAAGTCTTCATTAAATATGGTGTAGATGAGGGGGTTGATCAGTGAGTTGAGGTAGCCCAACCATGTCAGAAAGTCAGCCATCTCCATTGAAGTACTGCAAGAACCACAGGTGTTGACGATCACCTCCTTGACAAAAAATGGCAACCAACAGATGACAAAGGCCCCTATTATCAAGCCCAATGTGGATGCTGCTTTGCGCTCCCGTGAGCCTGAGATCCGTGGTCCTTGGTACAATTGGCTCCGACGTGACTCACTACGTGAGTCATGCCTGCGCGACTTGCACTTGAAAGCCTTTACCGATACGCGCACCCGTTCACGGGGTGGAGGTTCCTCAGTTGAGGGTTCAGAGAAAGACTTTTCTGGTGGGCTTATGGGCTCCGGACTTCGTGGTCCCCCATCGGCGTCGCCCTCTCCGGCAGGGTAGGACGACGGGATCATGCTCCCATTGGTCATACATGAGTGACGGCTAGCCCGGCTGGCCTCTCTGCGCATGTAGAGGGTCTGAGCGGCCCGATAGATTTTGTAGTAGAGGATGAGGATGAGCAGCAGGGGGATGTAAAATGCTCCAAGAGTGGAGTACAAGGTGAAGGCCATGTGATGGTGGATGATGATGCACTGGCCTTCATGCTCTGCATCTCCGCTGTAGTGCCGCCACAGTAGAGGAGGAAGTGAGATGAGGATGGACAGGAGCCACACCACTGCCACCATCGCCCCAGCTCTGGCCCCGGTGCGTTTGCGAGAGTACTCCACTGCATCAGTAATGGCCCTGTAACGGTCGATGGCGATTGCAGCAAGGTGCAAGATGGAGCATGTGCAACAGGTGATATCCACACTTAACCATATGGTACACACCACCTCGCCCATGACCCAGCTCTCTTTCTGGATGTACATGATACTGAAGGGCATGACCAGCACAGCCACCAGCAAGTCCGTCACTGCTAATGAGCAGATGAGGTAGTTGGCGGGGTGGTGCAACTTGCGGGTGACGGCAATAGCTGTGATCACCAGGCAGTTGAAGAATGTAGTCAGGATAGCCAGTACAGACAGGGTCACCGTAAGCAGGACTTTACTGGGAGGAAGTTTAGTGGTCTCCAGTGACTCATTGCCACTGCTGCTTGTGGCAAACACCCCTTCAGTGCAATTGGGGAAATCCATTCTGCAAGCAGAATGGAAAGAGAGTTATGCATTAGACAAAAAGCAAGGTTAGGAGAAATGTAGTTAATTGAGTCATGTCAATATTTTTTGAGACTTCTGTGTAAAGGCTATAATTTGTTATTCAGTCTCATTATAATCTGTCAGTCAGCATTTTTGTGCAATAAAATTCACTTTACTACTTTCAAACATTTATGGCCACTGATTTTGCTTTCTGCATTTCAGACATACCGTCTCCATTCAAAATGTGCTTTCAAAGATACTGGACTTGTTCAAGGTCTTGAAATATTAATGCTTTGACAGCCTTCATTTCAACTTGCCCACAAAAGTTTGCCAAAGAAAAAATTTTGTAACTCAGTCCTACCTGTCTAGGCTCTAATGCGTTGCATCCAGTTGGCTCAGTGTGTGGCAGACAGTCTGCTGTGATCTGTCCCGCCTGCTAGCTCAGCCATCACATCACCTTGGTCACTCATCAACACCTGGGAGAGAGAGAGGGAAAGGGGACAAGAGAGAGACAGATTGTGAGAAAAAGATAAAGCAACATAGGGCGGGACAGAGGATTGAGTTGAGAAAACAGATGCACTTAAAAGAAACAAGAAAGTGTCAAGGTAGCTACAGCCAAGGACGAGTACACCTACGCAACAGTACAAATCACTGCAGACGCAGTGAATGGTTTTTCAGAAGCTAATGTTTACATGTCTGTCTGAATTTAAATGACTGAATGAATTGATGATTTCTCTGAGAGCTGGTTTGGTTATTATTATGATCATTCTGAGTTCTTTTCATTATAACTTGATAAATGATGTTTCAGAGGCTTTTCAAACTCGAAGATGAAAATTTGGTGGTGAACTTTTTTGGAATTATTGGCATGATTGTACTTATATTTAAAGTCATACAACATCAAACAGAAATATTCTGTTTCGGCTGCTCCTTTCCAAAAACATCAGTTATGTTGGGGCTATTTTATATTGATCAACCATTAATTTGCCAACAGCCATATGGTTAAATCAAAATGCTCAGGAATGCCATCATTGCAGCTCTTCTTCATTCCCCGCATTGCTCAGTATCCTGAAGACATGAGTGGGAACTGTTGCTATAGAAACACAAGAAGTACAGTACTTTTACTTTATGTGGGGATGGAGCAAAATCAGCCAAACTCTGACTGTCTCTCTACTGAGAGTGTTCGATTCCCTGGCGGTATGTCTGGGAGTAGGTGGGTGGGTGAGCAAGGTGGCAAGGCTACATGACAACTGAATGAGATAAGAGATTACAGTTCACTTAACCCTAACACATGGCAAAGTGCCTGCTAATATAATTTGCCATGAAAACTTCCAAAGCCCCCTTTCACTAAAACGGTACTGCATTGAACCAAAAGTGTTTTTTATTGTTGGACCATAACTAACTCCTACTGGTATGCTATAGTACCCTTTTATAAAAGCTCCAGGACGCACACAATTTGAAATCTCTTTTGATCATCATTACAATGTTGAGCACCTTGCAGTATAAATGTAGGTGAAACTCACAGAGAGCAGTGCAGAGGCATAAAATGAGTATTGGTTCACTGCTTCATTCAAGGTGTGGGCACTGGCCATACCTTAGCCAGATTGAGTCACCTGGCGCTCTTTGCTTAGTATGATGGTTTTACTGTATTAAAATAAAAAGACAAACATATTATTTCTGTTTATAAAGCATTCTGTCAAAAAAAAGCTTTGGATTAATGAAGAAACATAGCAACATGTTTCTAAATTGTATTTCTTTAACTACAAATTATGTTTACTTTGTATTTTTTCCTGTACACATAGTTTGTACGAGATAAAAGTCGTGTTTGCTTTTCTACCTCACTGTTGCCAGTGCCAGACCTAGTGTTGAAAACTAGCAAAGGTTTTTAAATTGATTTTCAGGCTCGGTACAAGAAAATTACTTCCTAAAGTGAAGTTTCACCGTACACTCTAATAAAGCTCTTTGCTGAGAAGAGTCGGGTACAGTTCATTATGCTGCACTGGCTGCAAAATACATTTAAAATACTAATGGTTTCACAGCTATTCCAGAACAAATTGCTTTGCCACTGTGAAGAAGACCAATGACGAGTAATCTGTAGTCCTCTGTGTTATGATGAAATTCTACACTCCCATCCCAGATAAATTTGCAAGAAAACCCAACAATACTTTATTATTATATTGCATGCAGATTACTTTGCACAGATAGAAATTACTGCTGCACTTGTGCTCTATGTCACTGCACTGAACTGGTGTTTTTCTGAGCTGTGCATCTGAAAATTGTTTTTTTCCCAATGTTTGTGGACAAATGTATATTTACACATACAGCATAGGGCATAGTGGGGCATATTTTTGGAGATTGTGTCTGTGCATGCTTGTATGTATATGCAGTGTTTGACACTATGCATTAACAGTGTCAGCCTGTCATTATGCGCAACAAAGAAATCATCTGCTTTTGTATTGAAATGCTCTAAAACACAGGCTTTCTGTTCAAGGCCATCTGCAGATAAGCTCCAGTGAGCCGTTGTGAGTCTGCTCTCTGCTTATATTCAGAACAAAATCCAGTTCCCTTGCAGGCAATTCAGCGAACAGGGATACAGCTTCATTTACTGACTGATATCCACATTGTTTTAAAATTATACAGCAACTTTCAATTTGTTTTTTTATGGTATTGTGACATTATTAATTATCTACTCATTATGGATAGGGTGATAAGAGATAAGAAGCAGCACACCCGAATACTGTTCAGTAACTTTTAATAGGCTCCATGATCAGCAATATTAGCAGTTTTATTCAGCACTCAAAGGAAATACTGCATGATAATGCTTCTGCAGTCTACAAAAAAACAGATTTAGGTTGTGCTGATAACAAGGAGGCTGACAAAACTGCAACATGTTTAAAATGTTTCCGCGGCTTTCAAAGATGAAGATGTAGAGATTAGTTTAATCCATCCACAGCCAGCATCTCTCACTCAGACATATATGCAAATGCAAATTAGAAAGCAACCTTTGACAAGCACAAGCATGTCTTCTGTAAACACATACACACACACACACACACACACACACACAGATACTGTCGCACACACAGGTTTGCAGTCACAGAAAAGAGTGTTGACCCTCTGACATTCAATCTCTCTCTCCCTCTCCTCTTACAAGAACAGGGAAGCTGCATCTGTCACTTGGAGTACAACATCTGAAACACAAACAGTTTGGGCCCAGGCAGGTCGTCAAGCTGCCAAGTGTTGTTGTGAGGAGGTGGGGGGGGGGGGGCTGAGGGAGTTCTGACAAAGCTGATTGTGTGACTGACTGCTCTGAAAAGATGCAAAATAGATGATTAACTGTAGCACCATAATAGGGCCAGGAAAACTCTAATTCATTTGCCTGTCTGTTTATCTATTTTCATCAACTATATGTACAATATCTGATTTTGAGGTGGGGGTAAATGACAAAACTGGCTAGAAGGAATACTGCAAAGGGCTCCCTTTAAGGTGATGAAATGTTTGTTTTTTCTCTTGAAATTAAATGTCATACATAAGTGAAAGCAAAGATGAATTCTGCCATTCTACATCCCACATTAAAACACAATCATGATAACGTAACATAATAAACTGTATTTTGGGGCGAATGGTAATGGGATGATATGAATAAGTAAAGGACTCAGTATAGGGCTGACTTCTTTTACTAAAAATGTATTATTATTCAACTGTTCTATTCATTCTTAATTACATTTTGATTTTAGATAAGACCACTAGCAAGAAAATGTAACCCTGTATCAAGGACTCATTTTAAAAATGAGATTATAAAGACAAGTGACAAACAAAACAAAACTAATGTGTGTCTAATTTATAGTGACTCACACTCACTGACCTGCATTTCATAAAAGGCTGATATAGTTCCAATTACCCTGAGTGGGCTAAAGTACTGCCATGTCCACTGTGCAGCAGTCAGTATTTGTCACTCATTGGCCTGTGTCCTCGTTTCAGGCACGACTGGATCACTTCATGCGTATCACAGCTGGGGTTTCACTGCACAAGTAGATGCACACCATGTCACCATCAGCTCTCTCTACCTGCTTCATGCAGATAGAAGTATTAGCTGGTGAGATGTCCCCTGAGGACCCAATTTGATGGAACTGGTTCAAGCACTCAACCAGATCCAAATGTGGCAGAGGTGGCGCGTTGTTTATTTGTGTGTTTCATTCTATTCGCTACTACTACAGGTACTGGGTACAGAATATACAGGTACCTGCTGGTATGATAGGTATCATAAAGTGTATATCTCGCTGCTCACTCACCAAAGAAAATACTGAATATGAATGACAGATAATGTTAATTATTTTAATGCTGTTAGTGTTTCAGTGCTTCAATTGCTGTAGATGATATGTGCAGTATATTGAACACATTTGTTTTTATAGTTACCTGTTTTGTTGTGTCGTTTTTAGTGATATCTAGAGTTGAATGATATGGTGTTAAGACACATCAGTGCATCAAACACAAGACACCAAGTGAATTACGTGAAGCTACCCGAGTGCCACATGGTGGCGGCAGCAGCAATTTCAATCAACATCAATATCAACTTAACACACTTACTGTAAAACAACCGAGGTTGACCAAGGTGCTTTACAGGGTAAAAGGCAATAAAACAAGGATTACAAAGTAAAAGTACAGCAATAAGACATTAATTAGGATATACAGTATATCATAGACTACATGATATATAATGATAATAAAATCACCTAACATAATAACTTTCTTAACTCGAAGGAAATGCCAAAGAAAAGAGATGTCTTTTTAACAACAATTTAAAGTGTTTAAGAGTGGGGGCGGTTCTGATATGGAATGGCAGGTTGTTCCACAGATGGACCAGTTTATCGGAGTGAGACTGAAGCAGGAAGCTCCTAAATTTGGAAATGTTTTTTTTTCAAATGGTAGAAAGCTGTCATCAAAATAGATGTGATGTGATGGAAGATAAGATTGGCATCAACAATAACACCCAGGTTTCTGACATGCTCACTGTCCTTTAGAGAATAACATTATAATATGGATACAATCTCTTGCCTTTTTACTTTTGGGCTTACTTTAAGAATTTCATTTTTTTTATTTGTTAAGTTGTAGAATATTTTGAGACATCCAGTGGTTGATGTCATCAATGCATTTGGCAAGCTCATTTGCAGGACTGAGGTTTTTAAAGGAAAGTCAGACACACCGCTGTGTATCATTGGCATCAGTAGTGTACATCAGCGGTCGGCAATAGGCGGCCCGCGGGCCAGAACCAGCTCGCCAGCAATAATATCTGGCCTGTGGCCAGATTGCTTTGATAGCAGAAAAATAAAAAATAGATAAATTGATAACGGCTGGTGCTGAAATAGATCTCAGTCATGACAGAGTTACTCACAATTAATTCCTCTTAAGTGATTATGCCTCTAAAATAAAAGCGCGAGAACGTCTTTTGCAGCAATGCTTAATGTCGAGTTTATTAAGA